TCCCAAATAAGGTAGATACAAAGAGGCCCACGCCAAGACACATCATAATTAAGATGCCAAAGGTTAAAGATAAAGAGAGAATCTTAAAAGCAAGAGCAAAGAAGTTAGTTACCTACAGGGCCGTTCCCGTAAGAATGTCAGCTGATTTCTCAAAAGAAATTTTGCAGCCAGAAGGGGTTGGCAAGAAACATTCAAAGTCATGAAAAGCAGGGACCTACAGCCAAGATTGCTCCACGCAGCAAAGCTCTCATTAGGATCGAAGGGCAGACACAGAGCTTCCCAGACAAGGAAAAGCTAAAGAAGTTCGTCGTCACCAAACCATTATTATATGAAATGTTCAAGGGACTTATTTAAGAAAAAGAAAAAGATCAAAAGTATGAACATCAAAATGGCACAAATTCACAGCCATCAACACCTGAACCTAAAAACAAAAAAACAAACTCAGCAGACAAGCAGAGTAGCAACAGCATCCCAGAAATGGAGGTGGCAGGGAGGGCCGTCAGTGCGGAGGGGGAAGGGGGACAATAGGGCAAGAGGTTCAGGGGTTGAGAAACGCACACAAGTAGGTGCAGAACCGCCGGGGGGCTGTGAAGTGCAGCGTAGGAAATGGAGTGGCCAGAGAACCTCCACGCATGGCCCGTGGACAGGAACTGAGAGGGGGCCGTGCTGGAGGGAAGGGGGGTCCGGGCGCAGGGGCCAAGGGGCGACAGCTGGGGCAGCTGTTAGAGCCTAACCCACAAAACACGCTTAAAAAAAAGATGTGCGCCTTTCATGTTGAGAGAGTATTTAAAAAAACAAACAACTCCCATTAATTAAATACGTGCTCCGTGTTTGGGGCGACGGGTACCGATGTTTGCCACTTACTCTGCAGTGCGCCCCCAAAAAGAGAGGGCGGACTCAGGGATAAAGGGATGGGTTGCGGCGGGTGCGGGGCTGTTCAGCGTGTAATTTTTCTGCGTGTTTGAACACTTCCATCATAAAGTGCTGAGGGGAGTCTGCAGTGCGGAACGTCAGCTTCCCGTGACTGGTCCCCGCCCGGGGCCCCGGCCGGCCCCGCTGCCCCTCTGTCTGTCTGTCTGTCAGGCCGCACTGACATCCTCTGCGTAACAGCCCCTTCACTTGGACGCCCCCCCAGCCCGGGCCTGCCCCGTTTGGACAACCACAGGAGGTGGGCCGAGTCCCTGTGCCCGCGTGGGGCAAGCCCCGCGCTGTTCCCACGATGTCTCCTGATTCCGTGAGGGGACGTGGCCGTCCCCCTTCCACGGCAGAGACCCCCGTGCCCTCGCTGCTTGCACTTGAACGTCAGTCCTCTGGGGACATCTCGGGTGCTCTGACTCTCTGTGGCCCGGGCCACATGGCTTCCCTGTGGCCTGGGACCCCAGGGGACACTGGAAGGCGGGGCTGAGGCCAGGATGGCTGGACCTGGGCAGCAGGGAGCTGCCCTTCTTAGGTGGCAGCTCAGGGTCCCCAAAGTGCAGACGGGAACGTTTCCAGGCCCCCTGAGGCTCAGCCTGGGGCCGGCCCCACCCCAGCGGCGCTCAGGACTCAGACTGGCCCAGCGCTGCATGCGGGGGGCTGCTGCTCAGAGATGTGGGGGACCCTCACCCAGCAGGACGTGGGCCTCCATTCTGGGGAGCCAGGGCTCCCACGCCCTCCTCTCCCCCCGCCCTGGGGGCCCTGAGGTGCTGCTGTGTCCCCTCCGTCTGAGAGCGTAGCCGGTGCAGCTCTTGGGAGGAAAGACACCCCGACGCCCAGCGAGCACCGTTTTGAGAGCTGAAGCCAGAGAGAAGACAGGGCGGGACCTACACGCAGGTGGAGCGAGGCGGAGGAGCCCAGAGGAGCCCTGGCCCTGGTCCTGATTCCATCGGGCGGCTGGGCTCGGGCAGGGCAGCTGCTCCGCAAGCCTCGCGCAGGCCCCACAGTGCCCGGCGGGGGCACAGGGGCGGCACCGGGCTGGAGGTGGACGTGGGCCTGGGCGGGGCAAGCCTGTGGGCTACCGGCCTGGCTTTCCCCCTCCCCCTCCTCCCCCTTCCCTCCCTGGCCTGGGGGGCAGGGCGCCCACTGGACACAGACTCTGAGGGCGGGAAGGAGGTCCTAGCGCCCTCGTCCCGCGGAGCCGCCCCTGGACACCGCTGCGGACAACTGCAGCAAGAAGGCGGCTCCAACCGGCCGCCGCTCCAGACGAGTCAGGCTGGGTGGTGCGTTGTGTGTGGGGCCCTGTGTCTCTTTTCCTGCCGTTCCTCCACGGGGCCCCCATCTGCTGGTCCTCCCCACCTGCCGTGTGAATGCCCCTCTCCCACAGAGTCCCCCGGTCCCTGCAGGACATCGAGCTTTTCTCTCAGCACCGGGCCGGGGCTCCTGGCTCTGCTCCACAGACCGCCGGTGGGCCAGGACGGTGGCGCCTTGCGCTCATTGCCCAGCCTGGCACCTGCCGCTGCAACACTCGGTAAATACCGGGAACACAACGAATGGGAGCCTGTGCTCAGGGTCACCTCTGATGCCCGGAGCCCGGCCCACTGCAGGGGGCTGGTGTGCGGACGTTTTCACTCAGCCCTCAGCCACTGCTTTGTCCTCAGTCTCAGCTTCATCTGGGCCCGCTGGCCACTCCAAATCTACCCCCAGCCCAGCCTCTAGATCTGCACGCTGCCTGCTGATCCGGAACGGGGGCGTGAGGGGGCAGAGGAGGGACGGAGACATTGGACGAGGGCATCCCCGCCTGGGGAAAGCAGGAGGATGGAGACGCGGGCGGGCACCGGGGAGGAGGGGCTGCTCGCCCCAGACCTTCTCAGAACGGAGCAGCATTCACCAGGGAGCAGGAAGGAAACCCGCTCCCCACCCCTGGGTCTACGGGAGGAGCCCCGAGGCCGGCCGGCTGCAGGGCTGGGGTGCAGGGCGGGCTCTGGCCAAAGGTTCCGAGCTGCCCCCTCGGGCACAGCCGAGACCGGACCCTGGCTAACCCAGCAGGCCGTTGGCCACGGGATGCTTGCAGGCCACTGGGACTTGCAGACCAACGTTTGCTTCCTGGGGCTTGGGTCCTCCAGGTTTATCCGGACCTGGTAACAGGTTTGCTGCCCGGGAGGCTCAGCTGTGGCTTCCGCACGAGGCGGCGTCGACCCTTCCGTAGCCTCTGCCTCGGGCAGGGCTCTGCGGGTTCCTGACGCCAGGGTGGCCCCTCGCTGGGAAGCAGCGAGTAGACCGCCGGCCCCTGTGGGGCGTCAGCGGCGGCACCTGTGACGCGGAAGGTGGGCCTCTCTCTGAGGCGCCACGGGATCAGGGGGCTGAGAAGGGCGGAGGACGTTCAGGGCGGCTCAGGGCGCCTGTGAGACCCAGGGCGCGCCCCGCTGAGGGCGGCTCCAGCCCGCCGGCCCGCGCCGTGGGTGCAGCGGGGGAACCGGCCTTTTCTGTCTCCCCACGACTCCAGACTCGTTCCTGCCTGAAGGCTTAAAACAAAACTTTATTTTTAGGAAGGAAGGGAGGGAGAGAAACATACATGTGCGAGAGAAAGGGATTAGTTGCCTCTCCTACATGCCCCAACCAGGGACCAAACCCAAAACCCAGGCATGTGACCGGAGCAGGAACTGAACGCAGGATGTTCCACTTTGCAGGACAAGGCCCAACCCCCTGAGCCACGCAGGTCAGCGCCTGAGGACTTTGCCTGGAGTGCTCTCCTCGGGCTTTACCCAGGGGGCTTCTCCCTGTTTTTTAGGTCTCTGCTGAGGTGCTTGCTTCTATTTCATCCCTCCCCACGTGGCCTCCACTGTCACCTCATGTCACCCGAATTCTCTGCATGGCACCGCATGCGCAGGGATCTTACTATCCTGCCCACCAACGTACCTTCGCTCTGACCGTGGGGAATCAATGCAGCTCAGTAAGCATGTGTTGAGAGAATAAAAGAAGATAATAAGTGGCAGCAGCAGGATGGAGAGGGGCACGTTAAGAAGCTAAGACGTTGGGCCTCCCGTCGGAGGAGGGCATACGCATCTTGGGTATCTGCCGTGGGGACAGGCACCGAGCCCAGAGTGACAGGCCGGGAAGGAGGCTCGAGCGGCCTGCGCCCCCCCACCCCCTTCTGCAGACCGCGTTGGTTGCAGCCGCCGCAGCCGCCGCACTGGCTCCGTCCCGGCCCCAGGTGCTCGTGGGGAGCGGGTGACGGCCAGACTGCAGGCTGGCTGAGTCACTGAGGGAGTGTGGGGGGTTGTTTGACTGAGTCACCGCCCCTCCCGCGGCCCAGTAACTGCTTTGTCACCGCCGAGATCTCCTTTTCAGCAGACCCGTGCATTTTTAAATGAAAGCCAAACCACCGCACCTCCCAGTGGGAGCCTCGCAGCGCGCCGGTTTCCAGGTGCGGGCGCAACGGCAGGCGTAAAACGGCCGCAGGTGTGGACAACATCTGCGGAGGGCGTCCTGTTCCGAAGCAAGTGGGGCTGGGGGACCCGCGCACGAGCCCCTTCGGCCAGCAGTGCCGTGGGGCCTGCCCGTGGGACCCCTGCAGGCAGCCGGGGCGGGGGGCCCAACGTGGTGGCAGACAAAGGAAGCCGCGCCCTGCGCCCTGAATCCGCGGCGTGTTTCTCGCGGGCTGCTGAGTCAGCCCGCCGAGCCGGCGGTGCCGCAGGATGAGGCCCGGGGCTCCCGGGCCGGGAAGCGCCGCCGAACCTGGGCTGGAGGGTGCGGGCCTGCGGGCGGGGGCGTGCAGGGGCGACGGCTGCCGCGGCGGGCAGCACGGGTGGCACCGTGGCTCGGCCGGGCCCGCCAGCCTGCGGAGACGGGCATCGGGGGCGCCGAGTCCCTCCGGGCCCTTCCTCTGCGGGCGGCGGAAGCCCTCGGCGGTTCTGGGAAGACTCAGGAGGATGTACGGCCCGGGAAAGCCGGGACCCGCGCGCGGAGAACCTCACTCAGGATCGAGAGCTAGGAGACCACACCCCCTCCCCACCCCGGCTGCGGGGCCGGTGACGTCACGCGGCGCGCGGCATTGTGGGGCGGGGCCGAGCCGGGGGGAGGGGCGCCGGGACGCCATTTTCGGCGGCGGGGCCGGAGCCGGCGGGTCTTAGGGCGGCGGCTGCGAGGGAGCCGCGGGGACAGCGCGCGCGGACGGCCGAGGATGCTGCGGGGCGGTCGCGCCGAAGCTCCTCGCCCGTGATCGCGGCCTTGCGCCTGAGGCGGCCGAGGCGGCGGGCCCTGCGCTGTCCCACGCCGCGCACGCGCCCGCGGCCTCCGGAGCTGACAGCGCCAGCGCGCGGCCCGCGGGAGCAGCACGGTGAGTGCGCGGGCCCCGGCCTCACCCGCGCCCATTCCCTGCCCTTTCTGTCCTGGCCGCCGCCGCACCCACGTCCCCTACAGGTTTGTGTTTCTTCGTTCCTGCATCCCCGCCCGGCCCGCATCCCCGCCCGGCCCGCATCCCCGCCCGGCTCCGCATCCCCGTCCGGTTCCGCATCCCCGTCCGGTTCCGCATCCCCGCCCGGCTCCGCATCCCCTCCCGGCTCCGCATCCCCGGCTTCACATTCTCATCTCGGCCCCGCATCCCCGCCCCGGCCGCGCTGCGGGCGGGGGCGGCCGTTCCGGGAACAGCTGTGGCGCCGCGAGCCGCGCCGGGGGAGGTGGCCGCCCCCGGGAACGCGGCGCGCGGGGCGGGGGACGCCGGGAGGGGCGCCGGGCTGCTTTGCTTTGTCCGAGTCCTCCGTTTCCTTCCGGCCGCCGCCCTCTCCCGCGGCGCCGCCCTGGGCTCGCTCCTGTCACGCTCGCGGGTGATGCGCGGCCCGGCCGGCGGGCAGCGCGCAGGGTCCCGTCCGAGAGGCTGCTGAGCTCGCCGCCTTCGCGGTCCCTTTCTCGTCCCTTAATAACCGGACGCGAGACGGGTCGCCCACAGCGTCCACCACGGCTGCCTACAGCAGCTGCCCTGGGACACAGGGCGGTCAGATTGGGTGCACCCCGTTCCTTAAAAATGTTAAAATAAAGCATTGGAAAAGGGAAGTCGATGCCGGGAGGACTGGATGGTTTTTTATATCTCGAGGGTTGGAGGTCAGGGAATTCTGTATTGCAAATTTTGTGTTGTTGCCTACTGCTGTTTCATTACTTACACAACGCAGTCATGCTTTGCACATGAAGCGTTTGATGAGTACTTGTAAAATAATGTTCTTAAAAAGGGCGAGGACAACGGACAATTGGAGGCGCACCATTTAAAGTGCTCTGAAAAGGCCAGTTGGTTCTTTTGATTCTGTACGTCGGTTCCAAGGGGCTTTTGTACAGCGTGACTAAGCCGTCGTCGGCCAGGGTCCTTAGCTCAAAATCTTTGTAACGACCTGCTGCAGCCTCGCGGTCTGGTCAGACCTCTGGATTCCCCGTCCCAGGGCCTGGCGACCGCCGGGTGTGGGGGAGCCGAGTCACGGTTCCGGTTCCGGAGCACCTGTAAGGGGACCGCCCCGCCGAGAGTTAGCCGTCCTAGGTGGGGGGCGGGCAGCCACGGAGGGCCGAGGGCGGGGGGCGGGGGAGGGGCGCTGGCCTCCCGCTGGGCTCCCTCACTGGCGAGCCGCGGCCTCTGAAACTCGGGACGTTGTGCAGAGAGATGCGCAGGGGACCCAGAACACGCAGAACCCGCGCGGGGGCCGGGAAGGAGACGCGGCTCGGAGGGCACGGCGCGCCTCCAGTGCATCTCACGTGCCGGAGCACGGCCTTGGTGTTGAGAATAGAAAAGTCAGCACGTACATTCCCTCCTGAGCTACAAACAGTCTTTAAACAATTGTGTGAAAAGGAGACTAGAAATAGAAAAGTAAGAAGTTGAATAAGAGAGAGGATTCGTATAATCGGAAAACAAGGGGAGTATGGTAAGAAACCAGAACTTTATGTAGCACCGTGTTTAGTAATAACCTAAGTAGAAGTACAGGAAGGTTTGTTTGCTCTTTTCTATTTTATTTTTATTGTTGACACTGTTACAGATACCTCCCTTCCTCCCCTAAAGTACCAGGGTAGTTTTAAGTGTCAGATCTCAGGGCCTAAAACAGACGTGATTAGCCTGTCAAGACTGTAGAACTGGGGTCTTAAATGTCTGTCTCTGCGGAGAGCCGACCGGATGGCCAGGGACGTGCCCCTGGCGGCTGGTGATGCAGAGATGGAAGCCCTGGGCCGACGGCCAGCAGCCCCAGGCAGAGCGGAGGCAGGGAGCGGGCGCGCAGCGGGCGGGCTAGGGCGATGCCCGCCTGGTGCCCTGAGGAGGTGAGGGCCCCGGGTGGGGGCAGAGGTAGCCCGTGTCCTGGAGGACTGAGCCCCCAGGGGCCGCAGCGAGGGGAGCCCTGCGGTGGGCAGATGAGGTTAGGACGGGCTTACACTGCGTGCCTGGGGGCTGCTTCGTCCGGTGCAGGAAGGAGGCTTGGAGGGTTCAAGGGGAGAGGCGGCGTCCGGGCAGGAGTCCCGGTTGTGCGGCAGGTGCTGTGAGCTGAGGTAATAAGACTCAGTTCACGGCACCGCAGGTCAGGGGGCTGCCATCCCCCGTGACTGCGGAGAGCTTCCCAGGCGCAGGGCCGCGGGGATCTGGGGTCGGGGACTGAGTGGGCTGGGTCAGGGCGGGGTCCCGTCTGTCCTGTCCAAGGATCCCGGGACCCGCCACGCCTCTGCTCAAGCTGTGAGCGCTCTGCCCCCGCCTCTGCCCTCCTCTTCCTCCTCGCCCTTGCCCAGGCGCCTCTCCCTGGATACAAGTGTCCTCACTTCCCCTCGGGCTGGGCTCCCCGGCCGGCCGTCCTCGCCCTCTCCGCTGTGCGGTTTACTGCATTGCTTTCTCCTCCAGTTATTGTCGGTCCCCTCCCCTTACCTCCACCCTCCCGGGAGGGCAGGGTTTGTACCGACTGGATCCCCTCTCGGGCCTGCAGGGAGGCACTTAGTGCCTGTTTTTGGCAGGGTGGTGCCTTGAGGGTCTCCTGGGGTGGCACTGTCTTGGGTGACTCGCAGCTGCTGGCCGGCTGGAGTGGAGGAAGGAGACTTGGGGCCTGGCTCAGGGCGGGTCGCATCTGAGGTGCGTGGGGGTGGCCGGGTGCAGGGCAGTGGGAGGCTCAGGGCTGGAGCTCGGGCGCTTGCGGCTGCAGGAAAGGTCGGTGAGACCCCCACATAGTGCCCCTGGAGACGCGGTGGCCTGACGGGCAGGAGTGAGCCTTGGGCAGCAGGGAGGGGCCGGTCAGCAGCAAACCGGCCAAGAGTCAGGGCGAGCTGGGCAAAAAAGGCTGTTGGATTTGGCTTCCAGCAGGTCACTAGTGGCCTTCTCGGCTTTTCCTGAGGATGCTGCTTCCTGGGCACCTTGGGTCGTTCTGCCCTGTGGCCTCCTGGCTGGTGGGCTCTCGGCTCAAACATGAACCGTGACTTTGCTTTGCTTTAACCAGCTTTCAGAGGCAGGTGATAGCAGTTTGGATCTACACTTTTGAATGTGCTTGGAGTGTTGTGTGTACTTAAAAATAAAGCAGATGCAAGAATACCCATAGAACAAACATTTAAAGCTGAGTTAAGTGAACCTGTAAAGTGGAGGTTCTGTCTTTGGCTCTAAAATGTCCCGGTCACCTCATTGTAGTGCCTTGGACTGTCCCCCTGACTGACCGCATGGCGTGGAGATGTCTGTCCCAGCCTCGGAGTTGACTATGCTGCTCCCATGAGAACCGGTAGCGGCGAGGCGAGCTCTGCGCCGGCAGGCTTGACGCCGTGTGCACGTGCGCCCTGCCTTGGGGCAAAGCTCGGGGTAGCGAGGGCCGGCTGCTCGGACCAGAGGCGCCAGCAGGAAGCAGGGCCGGACTCGCGGGGGTTTGTGTGCACCGTCTGAGCTTCGAGCCGCCTTGCCCGTGGGCCAGGATGCTGCAGCCGGCTCCGTCCCCCAGCTGCCTGCGCCCAGGGGCCCGCGCCCCGGCCCTGCAGTGGCAAAGCCCAGGTGACGTGGGGTGGTCCTTCGCCACTCCCTGGGGCGGCTGGCCCGTGCTCGCCATTCCAGGCACCCTCTTGGCCTGCCGAGTTTCCGCTCCTCACAGGGCCTGGCCTAGAACAGGTGCCCAGCACTGAGTCTTCATTACTTTTATTAAAAGATTGTGTTTATTTATTTTTAGAGAGAAGGGAAAGGGGGGAGAAAGCGAGGGAGAGCAGCATTAATGTGTGGTTGTCTCCTACGCGCCCCCTGCTGGGGACCTGGCGTGCCACCCAGCAACCCTTTGGTTCGCAGGCTGGCGCTCAGTCCATGGAGCCACACCAGCCGGGACGGGATTTGGGTCTGCTGCTGGGGGACTGGTGTCCTGGGCCCCGCCCCAGTGGCCGTCCACTGGCTCTCGGTTCCCAGCGGGGCCTCCTCCGTCCTCAGAGCCCGCTGCCCGTCCCTCTCCTGCTCGGAGCCTCTGGCTCCCAGACCCAGGCGTGCAGGGCTCGTGTGACCAGGCCCGGCCACCGGGGCCATCCCCTGCCCTCGAGGTCAGCTGACCGGGGACCATCACCACACTCGTGGTGTCTCTTGACTGCCGTTCTGAGGTCAGTGGTCGACTGAATTACGGGAGGGGCTGTGGGTGCACCAGGGGCCAGGCCCCTTGGGGGGCGTCTTCCTTGGCCGGTCGCATCTCGGCTTCCTGTGCTCTCAACACAGAGCCGTTCAGGGCCGTCTGTCAGCTAACACTGGAGTAACGATTTCTGCGTACATACAGCATTAATGTTAGGAAAGTCTACTTTAAAGAAACTTGAGATATAACTTGCATACAGTGAAATACTAAGACTTTAAATACTGTTCATTTAAAATTTTTTTATTGATTGATTTTTAGAAAAGAAGGGGGAGAGAAACATTGATTTGTTGTTCCACTTATTTATGTTCATTCGTTGATTTTTTTTTTTCATATTTTATTTTTAGACAGGAGGGAAGGGAGGGAGAGAGGAAGAGAAACATCCATGTGTGGTTGCCTCTCACACACCCCCTAGTGGGGACCTGGCCCGCAGCCCAGGCCTGTGCCCTGGCTGGGAATTGAACTGGCGACCCTTTGGTTCACGGGCGGCGCTCCGTCCACTGAGCCCCACCAGCCAGGACCTGGCGGATTCCTGTCTGTGCCCTGACCGGGGATCAAACCCACATCCCTGGAGTATTGGGAGGCCGGTCTAACCAACTGAGCTACTCAGTAAGGGCTGTTCGTTCAGTGTTTTTAAAAAAAATTAATTATTTATTTTTAGAGCAGGGAAGGGAGGGAGAAAGAGAGGGAGAGAAACATCGATGTGTGGGCGCATCTTGTGCGCCCCCTGCTGTGGGCCTGGCCCCACAACCCCAGGCCTGTGCCCTGACCCGGAATCGAACCTCTGACCCTTTGGTTCACAGGCTGGCGCTCAGTCCACGGAGCCACACCAGC